CCACTGTGATCCACATAAAAAACTATCTGTCACAACACAAACAGTTGTCAGCATAAAGAGAGCAGAGAGAAAGCCTAATAGACCTCTTGGGAAAGCCTGTGGCATAACATGTATCTCCTGTCCTTATCAGACTTGGTGATGTGTCCAAGAGAAAGTCTTCCACTGCAAATCTTAGAACAAAGGCAGGCTAATATAAGAAGGTAATGTTTTTGCAAAAAGTCCAGCTGTGTAGGGCTTTTAAGTTGTAATGAAGACTTTTGTTGGTGTAGCTCAAGAAATGGGTGCAGCTAGTACACTATTTTTAACTGTGCAAATGCACTTCTGGCCACCATCAAAATCTGGGTATGCAGGTTCAGAGATAAATCCAAGAGCACGACCAAGCTACAAATTTGAGATTTCAGATGGAAGTAACCCATCCAGCACAAACTGGATCCCTATTTCCTGATTAGCCTTTCAGCTGAGCAGGAGCACCTCTGTCTTGTCTGGATTATGCTTCAATGTGTTTCCCATATCCTGGAAACAAACACTGGTTGAACACCAAGACTGTTTCCTCAGAGTTAGATGAAAATAAAAGACAGTGTTGGGCATCATGTGTACATTGGTGACAATGAATCCCAAATCCCTGTACAACCTCTTCCAGCAGTTTCATTTATATGTTAAACAGCAAACAGGTCAAGGCAGAGCCCTAAGGGGCACCATAGGCCAATGGCCAGGGTGAACAGAAGTTTCTCACCACTATCACCTAGATTTGTTTCTCCGGGAAAGAATGGAGTTACTATAAAAGAGTGGTCTCATGTCCCATCCCAATGATGCTACCAAGGATACCGTAGTTGATAGTTTTGAAAGTTGATAAGAGATCTAGAAGACCTAACAGAACGGATTCCTCCATCTTGTTCCCTGTGTAGGTCATCCACCAAGGTAGGCAAAGCTGTCTCTGTCCCATAGCTAGGCTTGAAGACAGATTAAACGGATCAAGATAATCCATTTCAACCAAGAACACGTGGAGTTGAGAGACCATAACATGCTGCAGAACCTTACCCCAAAAAAGCATATTAGAGGCAGGCAGATAATTGTCTAAGAAGGTGGATTCAGGGAAGCTAGTTAGTTTGGCTGGCTTTACAATCTATATAAATAAAAATGTAATGTTCGTTTGTGATACCATCAGAACTCAAAAACCACTGGGGGAATTGACACCAAATTTGGACACAAGACACCTAACAACCCAATGTATGTCCTCCACTCAAAAAAAATGATTTTGTCATTTGGGAATTGTCGTTGCTGGGATTTATAGTTTACCTACAATCAAAGAGCATTCTGAACTCCACCAATGATGGAATTGGGACAAACTTAGCACACAGGGCTCCCATGACCAACAGAAAAAACTGGAAGGTTTGGTGGACATTGACCTTGAGTTTGGGAATTATAGTTCACCCATATCCAGAGAGATAGATAGATAGATAGATAGATAGATAGATAGATAGATAGATAGATAGATAGAAAGATAGATAGATAGATATGATTCACACACACACACAGATATAGTATCATAGATTTGAAAGGGACCCCTAAAGAAGGACAATTATATGTTGCCAGTTCCAGAGTAGGCAAACTAGACACTCTCCACATCAACACTGACAAAGAAACAGCAAGAAATACTGTTTACCCACAAGCATAAAGAAATTACATGTTATTAGAAACCAACACTTTCTCATTACTTTATTTTCCAGATCACCAGACTGGACCACAGCAACGTATGGCAGGGGACAGCTAGTAGACTCATATAACTTGTTTTTTCCACCATCGATGTTCTAATCTCTGTCCAACTCATTTCATCACCATCAACTCCCTAGAGGACCGGGGCTTGCTCGGCTCCCCTGCATGGGAATAGACACTAAGGAATTATTGTGTCTTCCACCTTCTTCAAGAGCCATAAGGAATCCATCTGGATTCACAAGCCTCCTGGGGTGGACCATCAGAATTGCCCCCCACATGACCTCTGGAGTCCCAGTGAGTCTAAATTCCACCAAGAAGAAACAGATTCAGAACAACCTGCTTTATTCTGCACTGAATAAGCAGTAACATATAAAAATAAGAGAAATATAAGCTGAACTGAATGAAAAGTCATACCAGTTCAAGTGATTTATCTATATAGCTCTATTGTACAGATGGCAAACTCTTAAGCTACCTCAGGCATGGGCAAACTTCAGCCCTCCAGATGTTTTCAACCTGGCTGTTAGGAACTGTGAAAGTTGAAGTCCAAAACAGCTGGAGGGCCAACATTTGCCCACGCCTGAGCTAGTATTTTGAATAATGCCACACAAATTATGTTTATGGCCCACAGACTATGGAATTTATTTAATTATTATAAATAATGGCAATTCACAAGACTGAATGCAATTTTCCCATGTGCTTCATACCTTGTAAACTCATGTATTTCTCAAACTTTGAAGTTTATCACATAACCAAACAGCAAATAACTGAAAAGAATGACAGGTGAGAAACTTATATTCGAATTTGGTGAAGTTTAATAATCTATGCCATTTTATGCATCCAGATTCTTATTTTTGCTATGCCGGGCCTCTAAACATAGCACTCATTAAGTGTGGAATGTGGACTTTCTAGTTCTGGAAAATATCATACAGGGAGTAGCCTCTTTATGCAACTCTGAGACTTTGATTCCCACATGCACAGACAACCTTGTATGTGGAATAGCAGGTTTTATAGGATACATGTCCTTTGAGATAATTGACACTGCATGGTTTCCTACTGTGTTTTTGTTAGCTCCCGTTTTCCCAATCATGTTGCAGTGAAAGTCAAAAAATGAAGTTCTGACTAGATCTGCAATTGTGTAAACACAATTTACTTGGGGAATTACCATTCACTGCGTCTTCTTCCCTAACCAAATATTTTGCTAGAAACCATCCTCAGGCATTCTAAACTCAGTTCTAAACCTAAATGCTCAGGCTTCAGTAGTGTGTATTTTCACATCTAAAACAGGTGTGCCAGTTATGCCCATTCCTTGTGGCATCACATCTGGCTATTGTGACACATGCCTTGATTACATCCTGTTGAGATTATGATAATGCACTCTGTGGGAGGTTTTCTTTGCAAAGAAGTTCGGAAACTTTAGCAGGCTCAAAATGCTGCAGCTAAACTGCTGACTGGAGCTTCTTCATAGGAAGCATATAACACACTTGCTAAAACAATTTCTGGTCCACTTCTGGGCACAGTTCAAACAGCTGATATGGACCTTTAAAGGCTAATAAGGTGTATGTTCTGACTATTTGAAAGACCTATGTTTCTCCATACAAACCTGCTTAAGTTTCACGATCTTTGAGGGAGGTCTTTCAATCCCACCATTCTCTGAGTGGGAACATGAAAGAAGCTATCTTGGTAGCTGCTCCTGGACTTTGGAACTCACTAAGGGAGGTTCAATCTGCCCCTCCTCCATTGTCTTTTTCACCAGCAAGCAAAGGCTATATCCCAGGATCTGATCCCAGGTTTTCTGTTTATCCCAGATTATTTGGCAGTGAGGACTCATATAATCAAGTTTAAAGCAGAAAACCTGGGATCAGATCCTGGGATATAGGGACTGTCTGGAAGGGCCCCTACTTGTTTAAATAGGTCTTTAGTCTTGGCTGACCAGGTTGGAATGACAAGTAACTGGACGTGCTGTTTTCATATGCATGGTATATTTTAAGTGTTTTGATTGTGTTCAATTTTAATTTTTTAAGTGTTTTAATTGAATACTATTTCATACTTTTTAAACTTTTGTCCTGTTTGAACTGTTTGGATTTTGTTTACTTTGAAAGTGACATTGATTCTCATTCAGGAGAAAAGAAGATAAATAAATACTGGACATACATACATAAATACATAGCACATACACGCATGCGTGTATACATGTAGACCAATGGTTCCCAACCTTTTTTTGACCAGTGTCCACTATGACCAGGGACCACTCTCCAACATTAGTACCAAAAGGAGTGGGGCTGGTCAGCTTTACAGAAAGGAGCATATATAAAATAAATACAATAAAATAAATAAAGGAGGAGGAGGTTCGCGAACCAGATTTTTGTTCTAGCAGCCCATTGCTGTGCTGTGGCCCATAGGTTGGGAACCACTGATACAGACTTTGCACAAGTGGCAATGGGAAAACTGGCCCTTGTTGGATTGTATCACCCAGCATATTAAGAATCCAAATGAATGAAATATGAAAGCCACTGAAACCAACAGTACAAAGATTAACATAATTAAAGTCTATAAAGCAGCTATTCTTGTTGGTTTTAAAAAATTGAAAACGGTAAAGCAGAACTGACTAGCCTCTTGTTCTTACAGACAACTACAGGCATCTGTTTAAACAGTTTTTTCCCCATTTTGTCTTACTGGGAAAAGAAAAGAAGACATGTAAATATACCACATGAAGCACAAGAGTAATGTAGCTGATTTTTCAGACTCATTTGACTTTATTTGGATTACAGTTTCCAGAATCTTCCTGCCAGCATGGCCAGTAGCCATGTTACCTGCAGAATCGGCAATTTCCTGCCGATTCTGGAAATGTAGTCCAAAAAAAACCCATAATATTTTTCTAGCTCTATTATTTTCTTTTCTAGGATAACCTCGTCTCTAGCACTTTACATACCAACAGTTATAAAAAGTGCTTCAACAGAAAGCTAGGTGACATCCATTGAAAACTACAAACAAGAAACAATCTCTTAAAAGAATGTCATTAAAAACAACATTTAACATTAAATACAAGTAAATACGGTATCTCTATTAATTTTGCAAGTGCCAAGGGACAATAAAGGATTCTATTAGCATTAAAGTGTGCCTAGTTCTCTGTTAAAAAACACACACAAGGAAATAAATTAGGAAGCAGAAGTTTGTAAGGCTTTCAGAAATTGAACATCTGAAATACAGCACCATTGACACATTAGCAACCTCGTGGAATAAGAGCACTGTTTCTCACAACTATTTAAAGAGCCCTGTTACCTTCTTACCTGAAACGGAAAGCAGGACACAACCAGCACCCAAAAGGACAGCTATCAACTTCATCACGACCTTGTTATGTTCTCCCTTGTCTCTCCTTGCCAGAAGCTACTGAAGATGTGAAGAGACCTACAGATTTGGTGATTTTCTTTCTTCCTTTTCAAATTCACTTTGTAGGGTTGTTTTCAAATTCAAACATGAACAACTTCCTCTCTTGCAGATGTTCTAAATGCCTACATCACAAGCAAAAGACTGGGAAAGCACCAATATTCACTCAGAAAGCATCCTAGATAAACAAGAAGCAGCTGTGTTATGCAACACCTACTTATAGGTGCACACACCCTTCTTAATCCATGAACTTATGAATAAGGGGCGGGCAGGTTAAGAAATGGGGAAGGCCAACTGTTCATAGCCAATCAAAAGGTGTGAAGCAACACTTTCCACAAACTGCCTCCTTTCCCATCAAGAAAGCAATAATTATCACATGATTACACACAGCTAAGGTGTGCCAGAACTACGCTTTATATTCATCCCTAACAAAGCTATGTTTTTCTACTTAAAGATCTCTACTGACACGCAGACATTTCTGCCTAGAGAACTCTTGACCTCATCTACATTGTTCAATGGTTGATGGGGTCTCTCTTGTTTTATTTTGGGGGACAAGATCAGTGTCAAATCCTAAGCCGCACAACACACACATTACCAGTAAGGAGGTGTCAGAACATGCCTTACCATCTGCAGCAAAAACTGCTTCACAATTGAATTTTTTTTCTAATGCAGACCAGAAAGCATAAGTGAATTTAAAGTTTGGGTGTTGGCATTCCTTATTGAACTTGAAAATGTGTGGGAGAAGGTGGAAAATTGAATACTAATGTATATCCTTCTATTTGCATTTACACAATAACAATATTAATTAGCATTACTTTAAAAGGCATTATGATTGTTGTTGATGATGTTGAGACCTGGAGTGCATCTACACTGTAAACATAATGCACTTTGGTACCACTTTAACTGACATGGCTCAATGCTATGTGATCCTGGGAATTGTAGATTTACAAGTTCTTTAGCCTTCTCTGCCAAAGAGTGCTGATACCCCAGTAAACTACAATTCCTAGGATTTTATAGCATTGAGCCATGACAGTTAAAGTCAAAAAAGCATCAATTCTGCATCAATTCTGCACAGTAGTTGCAGCCCGAGGAACTGTAGTGCAGCTTATAACCAGAGTTCTCTGGCCTGTGTACAGCACAGGTTTCACATATCCACATGAAAAAATAATGCCCCCAAAAGTATTTGTGGTTTCTATAGGTTTATCTATAGGTTTATCCAGTATGGTTAAAATATTATCCACATTATCCAATATTAAGATGCAAAAGAACCAAACAGTTCGTACAATGCCTGGCAGAATTATTTATTTGCTATATTTATACTCCATTCTCTCTCACCCAGAAGGGGACTCAGAGCAGATTACAAGTTATGTGTATATGCAATATATATTATTAGCATAGCACAATATTAGTATATTACTATATTGTACTATACCACTATACTGCAATATTATTACTAATATTACATGTAATATAATTCTATGATATTGTATTATTAGTATTATATTGTATTACATTATAATATTATGATCAATATTATATGTACATACAATATATTATATTATTAGATTAGCAATAAAAACATCTTCTTGTAGTTCTCAAAATACCATACCGTAGATCAGCATCCCTGATCTAGAGCCTTCCATGGACTAAGTGCTGCTGCTAACAAGATCTCTCTCCCTCCGTCTCCTTCATTGCTTCAGATATTGGCCTTCATTTAGGATCCACACAGACAGATTTGCATGTTTATTTACATATTTATATTGTTACACATCTATCACTGAATGCTGTTTAATCATAGTGCAACTATACACACCAATGCATTTCATTGATTTCATTATATTGAGTCTATTTATATTTAACAAAATCAGATTGCTGGAAAACAGGGATAGAGTATGTGACTTTGTTGTTTTTTGTGATATGAAATCCAGTCAGTTCATCTTCTGGTGACAAGTCTTTACCTTTGGCAGAAGCATACATTTGTACATAAGATATATGGGTGGGACAAGAATCATCGGGGTGAACAAGGAGAAGGGTGCATTGTCTGCCCTATGTTTGTGATCAGTACCATCAACTGGGGTGGGGAAGCTCTTTCAGCATAGTGGTGATGTGCTGAAGCAGACACACCAAGCATGAACTGCTAGGGAGAGTGCTTTCCTCTGGACTCAGCTGGCATAAAGTAGATAGCCATAAATCTGGATGGCTCGCAGTCCATGCTGCGGCCAGATTGTACATATTTATAGCACACCTGCCCACCTTTCATGATAGACTGTAGAATCTGCAACATGCCAACATGTAACACACTTAAAACAGGAATGCACAGACCTGCTAACATTTACACTAAAATTTATTTTCCTATTTGGCAAACTATCCTCTTTGCTGTCACAAGCAAAGCTTGGGATGGAGGAAAGGCAGGGCAGGAACAACACTAATGATCTAAGTCACTGCTTCTTAAACTGTGGGTTCCAATCCCAGATGGGGTCCCCTTAGTTCAGTGTTGGGGCCCCGAAAAAAATTGCAACAGTGAAAAGATTTCTGAATACCACAAATCTGCTGTGCACTGTTTACAGCTGACTCTGCAGAAGATGCTTCAGCTGTACTTCATAAAAGGAATATCAGCCTATAAAGCAAGCCTTGCAAATGCTGCTTTCTTACCACTAAATGTTTAGTTTTATACCTATTTTATATCCTTTTATACCTGTGGTCACACAAAAAATTCTCTGGCTAAATGGGGTTCTGGGTGGAAAGGATTATCTGCAACTTGGCTTGAATGGAGACAGTTAGGAATGTGTACAACTCACCAGTCATGAGGGTTGAGGGATTTTGTGGTCCAGAAAGTGAGTTTTACAGTGTACATACATAGATTGGGGGAGGCTATATTGAAACACAGCTAATTGTTGGATTTACATCCAACATTTGCAATATGAGTTCTAATGTCCATCCAAAAGCTTTTTATTCCAAATTCTACTATAAAAATGTACTATTCCATTTTAACTCAAGATGAATGATTCCCTTAAAAACACAATGACAAAGAAGAGACTTTTTAAATTTGTTTATTTTTTTTAAAAAAATCACAATTATTAGATCTTAAATTCCAAATTCTTGGCTCTCACACTCCAAACCTCCATAATTCTAGTTGCAAATGTAACACATCCAAACAGCTAGAAATACACTTTACATTTTTACCATAGGAAAACCCAACATACCATTGGGATGATCTATGATATTGTGATTTTCATTGCATGGATTAAAACCTGATCATATGTATGTTTATACAGATGAAATCCCTTCAATTGAGTTGACTGCTAATTTCAACTTAAGTGTTGTCGAAGGCTTTCATGGCCGGAATCACTGGGTTGCTGTGAGTTTTCTGGGCTGTATGGCCATGTTCCAGAAGCATTCTCTCATGACGCCTCACCCACATCTATGGCAGGCATCCTCAGAGGTTGTGAGGATGCCTGCATAGATGTGGGCAAGGTGTCAGGAGAGAATGCTTCTGGAACATGAGCATACAGCCCAGAAAACTCACAGCAACCCAATTTCAATTGAGTTTATTTCCAAATATGTGAGGATAAGTTAATTGTGTGTGTGTGTGCACAACAAATGCATATAATTTTGCATATATATGGAACCAGATGGACACACACATTTACAATCCTGGTAGTAATATATACTTATCTGATTGGGCTATTGAGCACAAATTCCAAATATGCCTCATAGAAAATGCATGTTATGTTCTGGGCTAAACTTTGGTGGTTCAGAAATGACACAGACACATCTTGAGAAATCAGAAGCACCTATGTATTAAAGTTGGGCATTCCTCCTGGGTTACAAAATGTGTAATATAAAAAAGTATTGCTACTTAATAAAAGCAATTTACAATCATCGTATTTTGTTTAAAATGTAAATATCTTTAATGAATCAATCAAGACATACATTTGTTGCAGAATGTATGTCTAGCTCAGTTTTAAAATGGTGATGAAAAATTGATTTTTTTTATTTACCACATTACTGTAATGCAAAAAGGGCAAATTTAAGGATCCATGCATTTATCTAATTTTAAAAGGAAACTGCTAGACAATTTTGTTTTCTTCCAGAAGTCCATCCTTACAGAAATTGCATTTTAGAAGATAATATGATTAACTTACATCCACATTATGCTTAGCTAGATATTATGAATTATCAGAAATAAACAGTTTTAATCACATATACAGCTGGTTTCATTGGCAAATGCCAACCTTGGAAATGAAAGCATGAATTCAGGGATTTTTTTTTTTTTGGAATGAATCCATCTAATGAAAATAGTACAAGCATGTCTTTATTCTTAGCCAATGGAATAATATGTAATATTTGGTTTGATTGATTACTTGCTACAGGTAAAATTTATGGCACTTCACGATGTACTGCTTAAGGCATTTGAAGTAATAAATCTTATTATTGGAACTTCATTATTTATTTGTTGAAATGAAGAATAAAGTTGTCACAAAAATGTCAATTTTTTGTAAATACAAAACAAAGAGCTGACAGGACACTTAGGAAGCACAGAGGTAAATCAACTAGTCAGAGGCATGTGCTTTCACACAATTTTAAAAGGCAACTGTATTATGTCAATTAATTTTTGTATTGTATTTCGTCACAACTCAGACTCATTGGCTTTATTATCAAAAGAGGGAAAAAGGAAACAGAAGAGGTTGTTAATGTTGTCACGTGCCTTCAAGTGGCTTCCAACTTAAGGCAAAGCTCAGGCAAACCTATCAGAAAGTTTTCTTGGCAAAACTTTGTTCAGAGGGAGTGTATCGTTGCCTTCCTCTGAAGCTGAGAGGGGTTAACTTGCCAAAGCCCACTCACTGGGTTTCCGCTGCTGAGTAGAGATTCAAACCCTGGTCTCCCAGTGTCCTAGTCTGGCACTCAAGCCATTACACCACACAAGGAAGAAGATAGTGTGTTTGAATTGCTATATTGAAATTTTAACAAAATAATACAATTTTTTTGCATTAAAAAGACCCCATGTGCAACATGTACAAGTCTTTTCTTAAGAACATCATTTCCAAGTGATGAAAGATAAGGCAGTCACTTCAACAACCTCACTTTCTAGTGTACTGCATAGGAAGGCAAAGGTATGATGTCAGATTGGCTTCAAAATGAAAGCAAACATTAAGTTAATTACTTTTTTATAAGGCCAACAGATGCATTATTATAGGCATCTGCCAAATATTCTTAATGTGACCCCAGAGAAAAGACACTGGACATGGCTGCACAGAAGGAATCAGGACAGTTCTTAATAGTTACGGTTACCCGGCACAACTTCAAGTTTAGGGTCACATGCCAGTGGTGTTGGGGGACAGAGGCAAAAGGGTGGGACCCAAAATACTTGCTTTCTTTAGATCAGGCCTCCTCAACTAGTGGCCCTCCGGGTATTTGGGCCTCCAACTCCCAGAAACCCTGACCAGTTTGTTCAATGGTTAGGAATTCTGGGAGCTGAAGTTCAAAACACCTGGAGAGCCTCAGGTTGAAGAGGCCTACTTTAGATCTTAGTCCTAGGAAAGGCATTTCAACCTTTTCCAGAGGGAAAAAAATCATAGTTACCGAATAATGGTGAGATGAAAAAGAAAACATGGCCACAAGGACAACTGCAAATGGTTGGACTGAGACTTCAGGAAGGTCAGATTTGGCTTTGGGACCTATGGTTGGGCTGCTCTTTGCCAAAGATAGCCCCAAATGCAAAAAAAAAATCTATATAATTAAAAACAGAGACAGGTTAGTCCAGAATATCAGTATGACTGGGGATCTTGTAGCACAACTCTTATATCAAGGAAAAGAAATTATATCATAAACTTTCCTTAGGCTAAGTCTATGAAATGTGATGCTACAATTTCTTTTTCTCAATCTCAAAGGTACTATAAGATACCAATTCCTCTGTATAAGAGGATGCTTCCACGTACTCTAATTAGGAATGGGAGAATGATGAGGCAATGGCAAGCATGTATTGCATTTCCAAACAAATAAGTGGCCTGTTACAAACCAGGGGCCTGAAGGAAGGCCTGGCATGCATGCAGGCAGTTCCCAAGTTACAAACAAGAAAGGTTTTGTAGTTTTATTCTTAAGTTTATTTGTATGTTGGAGCAGGTACATGTTAAAAGTGTGTATACACATGTGATCTTTTAATAGTATACAGAAGGGTTAACACCCCTGTGGAGTTTGTTATGCTGAGTGTACCCTTGTTCAGAAGATTTTGCCTTATTTTCTGACCCTGTGATAATTGGATTTTGAAAAATCTGGCTTGTTGTGGAAACAAAGATTCATGATAAAACTTCAGTTAAGACACCCCTTCCTCATGAGAACTCTCTCAAGAGTGAATTTTCCTTCCAAGGGGTAGATTTTTCTCACTTCCTGTTGTCTCAGCCTCATTCTTAACTGTAAGCTGTTTATGTTAGATGTTTGTAACTCAGGGACTGTCAGTATATAGATGCATCTTATGTGTGAGCTCATAAGATGCAACAAATGGGACCTGCCTCCCAAATGATATTTTTATAGTATATGCTAAAATCAGCTCCCCTTTCAAAGTTCCCTCCCATCGGGCAAAAGAACAAGATTTCAGACAATGATTTCCAACCAGAATGCTTTCAAGCCAATGGTTAGTCAAATGCAATTTTTGAGTTTCTAAAGAATGAACTAGAGATATATGTAGTTTCATTTCTTAAAGCACCCTTCTTCCTTTTATAGGATGTATCAACAGGACTATTTTAATTCTACTTTTTAGTTTCATTATTTTGTTGCCTGAAATGTATTGTATTCTTTTCAGGGAGACAGGTAAATTCTCCATCCAGATTCTGGGATTCTCTTCATCTTCCATTTCACTATGATTTCTGCAAGAGGGTACGTTGAACTAAAAGGAGAAGGGAAAAAAGAAAGAAAAAAAGTGGTTTTACATTCTCTTCTGGTACAAATGCTTCAAATAGAGTGAAATATCCAAAATGCTATACTAGAATCTTCTGTAGTCTAAGCATATCTATTTGAATGTTGTTTTTTTGGGGGGAGGGGGGGTTTAAGTGGGACTCACTCTGGACTGAACACTCTCTTTTCGTAGCAAATAGGGATGATCTCTAACCCTTATTTCTCATCTCCTTAAAGGATATCAGATAGCAGGATGCAAGTTGTCTTTGGTTGGAACTGCTTTTGAGAAAAAATTATTTAAGAATGTTGTTGTTTATTTGTCACTTCCAACTCTTCATGACTTCATGGACCAGCCCACAGCAGAATTCCCTGTCGGCCATGGCCACCCCCAGCTACTTCAAAGCCAAGCCAGTCACTTCAAGGATACCATCCATCCATCTTGCCCTTGGTCAGTCCCTCTTACTTTTTCCTTCCATTTCCCCCAGCATCATTGCCTTCTCCAAGCTTTCCTGTCTTCTCATTATGAGTGTTTAAGAATACTGACTGGTATTAGATTACAGCTCAAACAAACAATTCATTTACTATTTCGATACTCCACAATTCTTCTACTGTTTTGAGGCAAAATACCTGGCACTTCCATCTTTTCTTTTCCCAATAAATGTAAGCTTGGAAACAGCATAATCCCAGAACTTAACTTCAAATGTCTTATATTTAAATCCTGCATTCTAGTCAAAATCTTGCAATAGTTCTGTACTTGCAGGTAACATGATATCAAAGAAAGAGCCATGCTGGATCTCACTAAACACCAAAGTATTCCTATCACGATCCAAAATGCCCCTGGGAATCCTGCAATCATGACATGAGTGCAACCATCTCACTTACATGTCTCAAAAACAGGGAAGCATACTAGCTCTGATCCTGAAGTAATATATCTTGTGCCCGTGAATTCCATAGTCTAACCATGTGAAATCTGACTATGTGAAGTTCTCCCTTTTAATGGTATCCAATATTGCACCATTCCGGTTCAGCTGATGATCCCGGGGTCCAGTATAATGAGGAAGGTACGAAAGCTTCTTCATAAAAACTTTCACCACATCATACCTAGTTGTATATACCTCTGTCCTTATCTCTTTTTCCCCAAGCAAAGAATGCATTCACGGGGAGCTAAATGAAAAGGTTACCCTATCCATAAATTTCACGTTCCACCACCCTTTGTTTATTGTGTCAGAAGTGAATTGAGAACATACTCAATTCGCTTCTGACACAAATTGCTTTGGGTGTGAGGGAATCAGCCATCTACAGGGGATGCCCAGGGGATGCCCAGATGTGTTACCATCCTGTGGGAGGCTTCTCTCATGTCCCTGCATATTCCACCAAACTGACTAGACCAGCCTGGGGTTCACAGGAGGTCTCTGTGTACGATTGTCCACCAAGAAATTTAAGCCAGAATTTCAAAGAGCACAATTCCAGGAGGAGGAGGAGGAGGAGGAGGAGGAGGAGGGGAAGAGGAAATCCAGATTGGCTTAACAGTCAAGTCACTCTTATTGAGAGCATTTTGTCACCATTCTAGTTTAAAGCTCAAAGCTACCTGCAATCAGACATCAATCCTCAGTCATCCTAAGCTCCACAAGCAGCTACAATAGCCCTACATTATGGACATGAAGTGAACTTTGAAAAAAAACTCATCATAATGATCACAAACAAAAGGAAAACTTGCTGCCTTGTGCTTTTGTAGGAAGCCTCTTTGTTCTCCACAACAGTTTACCAGCAAAGTTAATCTTGTCTGCTTTCAGCTTGCTTTCATACAATTTCAACTCTGTCCAAATTCTGTTAACATTTCCCCAATGTTGATTCCTGTTAGACTCTGTTGCATTGTTCTAATCCATGATCCAAAACTAAGGGTACTGATGTCAGACTTCCAACACATTCCACTTCCATTGCCCAACAGCTAGTTGAGCCAATATAGGCACTTTTCACCACAATTGAGACTGTAGTCCTAAAATGTATTGAACTCACACTCCTGAATAGACTGGCAAAGAATTGTGCTGCACATTAGTTCTGGCTTCAGCCTAGTAACTTTTAAGTTAGACAAATACACCTGATCATCACAATAATGTCCCATTCTGTCATTAATCCATTGGAATCTGTTCGCAAAACGTCACAGAAACAGAGTAATTGCACATGTGATTCTAATTGTGTTTTTTATTTAATATGTTTCTGAGGCACTTTTTATGTGTGATTGTAAAATCAGTATGCATCCTGTCAGCTAAAATCTCATTAAAATGGTGGCTGAAGACTTCCAGGCTACATTACTGTGTAATATTAGAAAAATAAATTAATTTAAAATGGTGACGTAGGGAGGCATTTGAATGGATTGGGAGGAGCTAGCCTTCTACAGAGATGTTGCCCAGGGGATGCCGGATTCTGTGGTGTAATGAATCAAAACACAGTATTCTCAAACATAAGAATCAGGTGTGATGAGATTAGTAGATCTGATTTTCAAAGAACACTTGATGATTATATGAAGGAGGATGATAAAGCTCTATTTCTAAAGTTAAATATGTCTGTGCTGGGATGGGACATGGCATGGAATCCCCCATGCTGCCCACACTAAGCTCTTTAGGAAAGGACATGCATATAAGGAAGGAATTATAGCTGTTAAAAAATACAAGTCATTACCAGGTGGTTCTGCATGTGCTCCTTGTTGACTTTCCATGTTGACATTCTCTTGATCTACAAACACAAATAATATCATAGCACATTTGTTCCTGTGACTATTTGGCTCAGACATTTAATAAAATTATATGGAATACATTTCAACTGCAGGCCTCTAAATTCACTGGAAAGTACAATACCTGAGCTATGTAAAAAGAAAGATTTTTAGCCCACCAGATGTTGTTGCCATGCAGTCTGTAATCCTGGAAGTCACAGTCCAACAACATCTGGAGTTTGACTTATTCCCATCCTTGGTTGACAGTAAGGGTACAATAATTTGGTTGTTCTGCTCTTTGGATGAAAGTATCCACAAATCCCCACCATGTTAGATGAGGTTATTGGAGATTGGACATTAAACATTAATTTAATTTATTTATTTACTTCCTTACAATATTTCTATCCCACCTTTCTCGAACTCAAAGGTGACTCAAAGCGGCTTACAACCAGGATGGTCAAAGTTTTTCTAACTCTGATCTAAATTTTTAAAAAAGTTATATCTAGCTCAGCTTCCACTTACACTTCTGTCACAATTCAGTAAGGCTTTGTGGACAAGCACAACAAGAAGCACCAATACTTACCACTTTGTTTGAAGCAGAGCTTTTTCTTCTGGTAAGCTATAAAACTTGACACAGCCCCAGCTATTGCCACTACTACTGAGCTAATAATACCAGCCACCATTCCTTGAGAACCTGTGAAAAGATTTTCCACCCAGTTAATTCTAACTTTCAGTCTCAAATATGGTTATAAAGACTTGTGGGAGGTTTCTTTTAAAACAACAACAGCACAATAGCAGAAAGCTTTCAACTAACACAGGAAACACAATGCTATCCCAAAAGAAATCCCAGTGTTTAAAAGGGTTCTTCCCCCATAACTATGTATTAAACAATATGCAAAACTGAAAACTCAGTATATGTGAATACTAGATTATGAAACATCTGAAAATTGTTTACTAAGCCATGTCTCAGTTATGCATAAAATACTACAGTAGAAAGACTTTTTAACTATATAACTCAAAATCCCACACTTTGGAACAAAACCACAATAAATTCAAGCAGGTAGGGAAAGGGACATAAAAAGTGAGCAATTGCAAATTTTAACATCAAGCACTATCCATCCAGTTTGACATCATCCTCAGCATTTTCTGGCATTGCCAAGATGTGCTGACTCATGAGTGCTGTCAAGGTAATGGACAGAAAGAGAGAAAGGGAGAGAAAGATTCTGGCCAGAGATACCAAGAGACGAATATGCCAAAAGTTCAAGATCCATACATTGTGTTTTTTTCCCCTAGAAATGCTCACAAACTCACTGCTCAACGAGGTGAAGATAATATAGTTAAAAACACGCCTGTGGGAGGAATAGTATGACACTGAACCTCAGTGGGTGTAATAAAAACAAACACAGCGTAAGTTATGCAGCAGGAGAGAATGAGATGAAAGCAGAAGTACTTTTAGACTGCATTTTATGTTTGGATGCCATGGGTCTAATTTAAAGGGGGGGAAAACATTCCAGAAAATACCATTGTCCTTCCAAACATAGTTAAAACTGCCTGCATCCTTTTGTTCTAAGCACATATGTAGTGTAAAAATTCAGCAGTATATGGCAAGGCTTTGAAGGAGACATCTGCTAGTGGACCAGCTGAAGTTGCTTGTGTAGTTTATTTAGAATAGAAGTAGAAAGCTTCCCCAGGTCCTGGAGCCAGAAACAGCCCCTCCAAAATCTGGTCGTATTCTAACTCCCCTCCACATGTTTCTCACCTCACACTGTCTAGAAACCATGAGGAGCCAATCTTGTAAGGTTTTGCAGGGTCCATGCATAGTTTAAGTGTACAGAGACCTTCTTTCAAAATGGAAATAAATTCTGGTTTTGGACAAGGATCTCCTGAACTAAACTAGTTCTTGGGGGCAGGAGCCTAAACAAAATCACACCTTGGCTCCTATGACTAATTTCCATTTTAAAAACTGCAGGTGGAAATATATTCAACTCATGGGGTTGGGAAAAGAATGGAAGACTTATTACAGGATACATTCATTTATTCATTCTGTCATTGAACTCAGAATAGCAACATCTCAAAAGTATGTGACACTTTTGTCACTTTATCCTTTGGAAGTGAGTTATATTAGCAACACTTCTGTCAATGTCAGACATCTTGCACTGGAAAGACACCTGTCAAAAGAAGGCCCAGAAACAGATATCCATGAAGTATGGTAACCATTTTGTTACTTTGAGTCTCCTTTGGGTGGAAAGGCAAGATATGAAGAAGAAGAAGAAGAGGAGGAGGAGGAGGAGGAGGAGGAGGAGGAATAATGGGGGAGACAGCTGCTATAAGTTATAGAGATATAAATATTTAACTTTTTTTCAAAACTTTACCATAGTAAAAGCAGCACAGGAAGAGCATGCAAGCTTACCTTCTGCATTTTCATTGGAACCTGAGCCATGTCCACCTGGAGAGATAGTTAGATGTGCTTATTACTCATTGTGAGTTCTCGCATTTTTATAATTTTTCTCACATTCTCTTTTTAAGCAGCCTAAGTGCACTGTGTGTTTCAAATGACTGTCCATTCTAATATTCATCACATTTTTTTAAAAAAAACTTTTATATCTGTACTACTTATAGTACTTTTAGATTGAAACAAAGTATAAACAAGTCATCCCTTTCTGATGTAAATCTATTTCACGAATATTCCTACATCAACTGTGCTCATTCACAATGTGTTAAAATATCTTGGCAGTATTCAGATTACTAAATCCTAGTTTAACAACCCAGGATATGCTGAAACCTCATCCATTCAGTGGTGCCACTTTGCTTCACTTTTGCAGCAAAACAAATCAGGATATTGCAGTTGATTAGACCTTCCAGTTATAGCTTCCAACCAAGCTATGACTTATATGTGACTCATTTGGAATTAATTAACTGTAGTTTCTCGTTTGTATGCAATGCAAAGCAGTGGTTAACTGGTTTCTTCACTTGCCTTGAACAAAGGAAGAACCAAGCAGCAGCAAAGGTGCAACATTTGAGTGTACATATAATTTGGTTTAAAAAGCCAGGATTTGATTATTCAAAAAGATCTATTGAATAACTTGTAGAAACAGCAAGTTATTTCATCTCAACCCTTACCACTATCCACCATAGTTTCACATTAATTTGCCACTGTCTCACTGAAGAGCTAGTTCCTTATGTATTTCACATAATCTGATCAGGCATCACAAACTGACACTCTCTTTATTTTACCAATGATAGGATATGTCCCTGAAAACAGATGAACCAAACCCCAGATCTCTTAATTATTTTATGAATCAGCCTACAATCGCAGTGGGTTGATTTTGAAAACAAAAGGAAAAACAAGTATCAGAAACTCCCTTAAAACACGGACTACTAGTAGCGCCAAAGCTGCAGGACCGATAACAAGTCAAAACAAGAAAGTATGACAAATTGTAAGTTCTACTGATTTTGATAAATATGAAATCAAGCACAAACTCAGGCCACATACCTTGGGAGGGATTAGAAGCACGGCCTACATTAAGGAACAAAAATTCATAGCAGTATGAGAAACAAAATCAGCTCATGCTATTCTCAGAAAAAAGCAATGACAAATTGTTAGCTTGTACATGCAAATATGGGCATCAAATCAAGGACTAGTTTTAACTACATTTTTGTTAGTTGTATTTCCAGTTCTTTCATACTTAAAGAAGTGCATTACAAGCACACGTCATGCAGATTATAATGCAAACATCTTGAAAAATTAACCTCAAAGTAAAAAGGATTAAACAATTGAACATGCACAATCATTGTAAGTATAGGGAATATTCCATTATATTTAGGGAGAATGAAAAACAAGGACTTCCATTCAATATGCAAAGAGCCTCACACACATATTCACACATATACACAAACAGATTTAAACACAGTTTGTTGTATTAAAGCCTTGATATGGAATTGATTTTATTTGCCTTGTTACCACTTTATAAACATTGTGATGTTTATTTAAATTTAGTATAACAGTTTTAAAAAATAACCACTAGTACTGTACACCTTATTTCCTAATAAAAAATCTAAATTCATCATCTCTTTGTCTACTGAAAAAAGATGTTTTCCTACAGCATATAAAACACAAAGATTAGTATTATTTGTTAAATATGAGACTACCATGACTAAATCAGTGCAAATATGCAGAAAAACTAAAAAAAAAATACCACATTTTATCTCGCCAGTTCACTGTCATAAGGAGGCAAAAAGAAAGTAACAACCCAGAAATACCAACTCTACAGGTATTTTTGAACACAATATGTGCTTGACTTACCTCCTCCAGGGCCAGCTGGAGGATCAGCTGGAGGCAGTCCGCCGTCAGTTAAGTCTGCATCACTTAGTACTTTAAAACAGAAAATTGTTTTTAAAATTAAAATAATCCCAAATTAAGTGGACTAGGAAGATGTGTCAAAATGTTTTCAGATGGAACTATATTATATCTCCTCCCTTGGCCCCATAAAATCCAGCTTTTAATGGTGCAGGCCCCCAACCCAACACAGCCGTTGACTATCTGTTGAAAACAAGGGGGCTGGAAAAGAAGTCTCCATATATGTTCCTACAGCTGGATACAAACAATAAGGTATGCTCTGTGACTTCCCAGGGATCACTTGGAGGCCACAGAGGACAACATCTGCCTCTCTGCCATTTCTCCATGTTGGCCATGTTGAAAGGGCATAGTGTGTGTTGGATGATGTCATATTCAATGCTGGCAGAAATTTCCAACCTCACCAACAACCCCAATAATAACTTACACAGACATAAGCTAAAATGTGTAAATCACTAACAGGATACTAGTCATTATTCTGTTACAACATGTACACTATTGGTGCTTTTGGTGCTCTTACAGCTTCTGCAACCATGTTCAAAATCCTGTTTCCAGATCTTCCTGCTACATGAGTTTTGTTTCCAAGTAATTTTGTTTAAAATAAGGTAGAAAACTTATCACACTAGCATTCAAATGCTCATCAAGGCAGACAAAGGTAGTTATGTCAATGGACTTTCACAACAAATGTTGATATGAATCCAGTTATGTGCTTCATTCGAATTACAGAAGTCAATTTTCTGATTCTTTTGTTACACATCTGCTGGAGTTCTTTTCAAACTAGCCAACTATTTCCTTGGGAATGTCTGCTACACAAGCAATACTGCTTTAGCTTTAATTGGGATCACAGGGCACTTCAAATCTTAGTTAAGACTAGAGTATCACTTCACCATCTCCAAAGTCAGTGAAGGAAGGGAATGGGAGAAATTCACAAAATCAAAAAGGTGTGTGTGGGGGGTGGGGTGAATGCTCATACCAAACATCCACCTTCAAATGGGTCATTTTAAAGGGCTATTTAAAAGGAATGAAGCACAGATTAAACTATTAGCCTTTCTAATCTCATATAGCATGAATAGCTTGTGGAAATGCTTGTTTGTATAACAAAGGATATTCCAGAAGATCAAGGACTGTGATGCTGTAATCAGATATTCCTATCTAGAAGGAATTCAAGGCATTCCTGTCGCACCCTACTGTTTTTTCTTGGGTCAGTCAAACCTGTTTGATGGATATTCCATGGATATCTACTTCTAAACCAGAGACAACTGTTAGTTTCAAGAAAGGAAATATTTGCAATTGAAATGAATTACTTACTCAAATCAGACTACATTGTTTTATTTTAAATACAGTAGAGTCTCATTTATCCAACATAAATGGGCCCGGAGAACGTTGGACAAGCGAAAATGTTGGATAGAATAATAGAATCACAGAGTTGGAAGAGACCTCATGGGCCATCCAGTCCAACCCCCTGCCAAGAAGCAGGGAAATTGCATTCAAAGCACCCCCAACAGATGGCCATCCAGCCACTATTTAAAAGCTTCCAAAGAAGGAGCCTCCACCACACTCCGGGGCAGAGAATTCCAGAAGGGATTAAGGAAAAGCCTATTAAACATCTAATTACGTTATGATTTTACAAATTAAGCATCAAAACATCAATTTTTACAACAAATCAACAGAAAAAGCAGTTCAATACACAGTAACATTATGTAATTCTAATTCTCATCGCTGCTATATGATATTTGCATTTTACTCATTAGCTCTACTCTCTAATGTTGTGGCAACAGTTCGCCCACCCACGACGAGACATGGAACTTTGCTATTGGTTGCTGGTATGATGTTCGCTTTATATACTGTATAATATTGTTGTTTTACTTTGTTATATTGTTTTTGTTATCATTTTGTTATGCATTTTAATGTGTTACATTTTAACTGTTCTGTTGGGCTTGGCCTCATGTAAGCCGCCCCGAGTCCCTTTGGGGAGATGGAAGCAGGGTATAAAAATAAAGTTGTTGTTGTTATTATTATTATTATTATTATTATTACTGGATTTATTAATTTAGCAGTGGATCCAGGTGGGAGGCAGACTGCGTTGGATAGTACGGAATGTTAGATGAATGAAGGTTGGATAAGCGAGACTCTAATGTACTACTTATAGCAGAACTTGGTAAAATTATTTTTGGTCTACTTCTCCTAGAATCCTCCAGTCAAGCTTTGGGCTTTACTTCCCCTTAAATTCATACACATTTTAAACAGGCTCTTCTAGACAAAGTTTGTATACAGAGTAATAACCTTAGTAGGCCCTTGTTCTTTCCATGACTTGCCAAGCTTCCCTAGCTTTCCTGAGATGAAAGGCAACTGGAGCATGCTCAAACCTTTTAACTATTCAAATAAGTATCTCTCTTTTCAGATAAAAGCTTTCACACAATTGAACCAGAGGCTAATTCAGACACTGAGCCACCACTGTGTTAATATTCATGCAGGTTGCTGCTGTCCCCCTCCCCAAATGTATAAAGAAAGATATATAAAAATATATTCTGGTATTGGTAGGTAGGGAAAGTGGCACAAAATTCTCAACACTTTGCACACTACATTTGTGGAAATACCATTGTTTAGGAAAGGAATGACAAATGTTAAAATTCACCACTATTTTTACAGCATCAAAATGTCCACAACATAATGCTTAAGCCCCAGCATTTGCTAGCCATGCTGGGAGAAACTGAGATTTTTCAAAGTAATAGATGGAAAGAGAGAAACAGGGAGAGAGAGAGAGAGTAGCTTCCTACCCAGAGATAGACCAGTAAAAATTAAGAAAGCCACGAGATACACTGAACAAGCCTCAAGAAGTGTGTCAGAGTATCTTACCCCCAGAGTCTTCATGAGTTCCAGGGTTTGGCTGAGGCCTTGGTGGGTCTGGTTTGTGGGAGTCATCCCCTAGAGAGGGACAGAAATAAGAATAAACTCAAAATATGAAAAACAGCATGACATTATGCCCATCTATAAAGTAGAATAAACTGGACAAGTGTATTCACACTAGCAAAGAAAAGAATCAAGTCAAACACACCCATGTTGCTATATTAGTCTCCTGTTCATCAATTTCCATAGTATTTCTCCTCCTGTCTGTCCTATGTACATGTATACACATACATTAAAGAGTATGTTAGATAAATGGCCACTCTGGAAGGGCAAAGAATTAAACAGAAAAAATTAATTCAGAAATGGGACTCGGAGGTACAGTGGCTCGGGTCCTTTCTGGAGGGACGGTCACAGAAGGTGTTATTGGGTGACACCTGTTCAGCTCCACAACCGTTGTTTTGTTGAGTCCCTCGGGGCTCAGTACTGTTCCCGATGTTATTTAACATCTACATGAAGCCACTGGGGGAGATCATCCGGAGTTTCGGACTAAGGTGTTATCTTTACGCCGATGACGTCCAAATCTGTCACTCCTTCCCACCTGTTACTAAGGAGGCTGTTCAGACCTTGAATCGGTGCTTGGCTGCTCTGTCAGACTGGATGAGGGCTAACAACTGAAATTGAATCCAGACAAGACAAAGGTCCTCCTGGTCAGTCGAAAGACCGAACAGGGCATAGGGTTACAGCCTGTGTTGGATGGGGTTACACTCCCCCTGAAGATGCAGGTTCGCAGCTTGGGAGTGATCCTGGATTCATCGCTGAGCCTGGAACCCCAGGTCTCAGTGGTGGCCAGGGGAGCTTTTGCACAGTTAAAGCTTGTCAGCCAGTTGCACCCGTACCTTGGGAAATCTGACTTAGCCACGGTGGTCCACGCTCTGGTTACATCCCGAATAGATTACTACAACGCACTCTATGTGAGGTTGCCTTTGAAGACTGTTCGGAGACTTCAACTAGTCCAACGGGCAGCAGCCAGATTACTCACCAGAGCGCCATACAGGGAGCATACCACCCCCCTGCTGCGTCAGCTCCAATGGCTGCTGGTCCACCTCCGAGCACAATTCAAAGTGCTGGTCTTGGCCTATAAAACCCTATACGGCTCTGGCCCAGCTTACTTATCCGAATGTATCTCTCTCTACGTTCCACCTCGTAATTTAAGATCTACTGGGGAGGCCCTGCTCTCGGTCCCACCAGCCTCTCAAACGCGTCTGGTGGGGATGAGGGACAGGGCCTTCTCGGTGGTGACCCCCCACTTATGGAATTCGCTCCCCAGCGAGATTAGATCGGCGTCCTCCCTCCTTACTTTTAGGAAAAAACTAAAGACGTGGTTTTGGAGCCAGGCCTTTGGCTAATGGGCACAATAGCACTGAACTCGGCATTGAACTCGGACAATAGGATTGTTTGAAAATGGGAAATGGCTTTATGACCTGTGATTATGTGATCTGTTCTATGTAGTTATGTAATTTTAATTAATATCACTGTTTAATTGTTATGTAATGGATTTTATATTGCTGTTTTATATTGTTGTTTTGATACTGTTGGCATGAATTGTTGCCTGTGTTAGCCACCCTGAGTCTCCCCTCGGGGGTGAGAAGGGCAGGGTAGAAATGGTCTAAATAAATAAACAAATTACAGATGGTTGGAAACTGAAGTTTTCTCAATTTCCCAGGAATACTATTCCACAGATGTGGCCAGCAGTCAATCCACAGATGCGGTTTTATTCCTGGAATCGGGAAATAATTGGAGCCATCTATAGCATTACTCCAAAACATCCCTGACCAATATCCTTCACCTCCTTGATATTCCAATGGACACAATGATGTTTTGAAAACTCAGAGCAAGAAACACTGATTGTGACCCATAAGCAGCATAAACAAAACAAAACAAAACACTTCCCTACTTTACAGAATCCATTTGGGAATATTTTGCAAGACATCTAATACTTACCACCCACGGCATCTCCTAAGTCAAAGTCATCAACTACACAGGAAAAGAAAACAATAGCTCTTTATCTAATAGAAAATATGGAATCTCAAATTTTAAAAACACACATAATATGTTTCTTCCCTTAAACAAAAAAAAAGGCTTTACTGCCATACCAGAGAAATCTACACAAATAACAGAAGAGGTGAGAGAATGGGTAACATTATTTACATAAATAGTAATTAAGTGATGGAGGAACGATTTTACTGATTTGCTTTATAAGAGGGCATTTTTATACTTCTATGCTGATAGTTTACATAAGTGTTCCTTAAACCACCTTTAAAAGCACACTAGCCAATCCTAAACACATTATTTATTTATAAATACATATACATTATTTACATTTAATTTCAAAACAGTTACAAGGAAAAAATAATGTGGATGTATCCACATTATACATGCATTACATGATAAGCTGAACTACATGGGGGATTATCACATATTTTCAACATGAAAATTCTATTGCATTATGCAATCTGCTTCAAATGACTACTTAATCAAGTGTAATACTAACTATATTTTAGTTCTTAAAAAAATAAACTATACAATGAATTACAGAAAAATATGAAAGTCTTCACACAGCCACTAACAAACACAACAATATAAAAAAACCCAAAATCTTTCTTGTATCAAAATCAAAGTGAAGCCTTTTCAAATAACAGCAAGCCCACCAAATTTGTGGGATTAATACATATGTTAGGTTCTTGTGGGTTTTTTCGGGCTATAGGGCCATGTTCTAGAGGCATTTCTCCTGAGGTAGGATGTTTGCCATAGATGCAGGCGAAACG